TTTCTAATCATATCTGTGAGTCATTCTGTGATCTTGAAAACTACATAAATATAATTATGTAGTTTTCAAGTTTCAATGTTATAACATCTATTTTTGCAGCAGAAATGTACAAACAAAAATTACAGACTTTATGACGTAGATTTCAAATTGAATTTTGTTTATCTTTTTGTGTTATTTTTAGTCATACCTACTAACTTCTACTACTCTATGTAAAAATAACGAAATAAAATACACCACGTATGTGTTTTTGTATTATACTTCGCTTATAGCGAACTCCGGATATAACGAACCAGTTTTAGTTCAATTTTGACTCAACTGTATTTTGTTTTGCGTATCTTTGCTTAAATTTGGCAGTTTCGGTTGTTTGTACTTTCGTTTATAAATCCGGATTTCTGTTTTTTGTTACAGGTCTTATAGAAACCAAACTGGGTACGGAAACGGTAATGGATATCGTCCTCGTCAAAATGGATTCGAATCGCGAGGCTCCAATGGCAACTTCGGCCAACGTAATGGAAATTGGAACAACAATCAATGGGGTGATAGCAGGCAAAGTGGAAACTACGGCGACAAAGGCAATTTTGCAGGGGACAAGCTGCACAATGTCGAGTGGGCAAACAAAACTCTTCGTCCCTTTAAGAAGGATTTTTATGTTGAACATGATATCATTGGACAAAGGTAATTTAGCACGCTTGCAATTCAGGTGGGACTATAACAAGCTTTATTTTTATTATTAGATCAGATGAAGAGGTGAAGAAGTACTGCCTGGAAAAGGGAATAACCGTTCAAGGCAAAGCCCCCAAACCTATTCAAAGTTTCCACGAGGCCAATTTTCCTGATTATGTGCTTGATGCTGTAGTGGCGCAAGGCTATGAGTATCCCACCTCCATTCAAGCTCAAGGCTGGCCCATTGCTCTCAGTGGCCAGGACATGGTGGGAATAGCTCAAACAGGATCGGGAAAAACTCTTGCCTACATACTGCCAGCTATCGTGCATATAAACAATCAATGTGATGTTCAAAGAGGAGAAGGGCCGATTGTTCTAATTTTAGCCCCCACGAGGGAATTGGCTCAGCAGATTCAACAAGTAATAAATCAGCATTAAACAGCACTTCTTGTTTACCCAAGATTAAATTCCAGGTTGCGCACGCCTTTGGCAAGACGTCCCGAATTCGCAATACCTGCGTCTTTGGCGGAGCCCCCAAAGGACCCCAAGCTAGAGATCTGGAACGCGGCGTTGAAATCTGCATTGCTACACCTGGTCGATTGATCGACTTTTTGGAAAGAGGAACTACCAACTTGGAGCGATGCACTTACTTGGTGTTGGATGAAGCCGACAGGATGCTAGATATGGGCTTTGAGCCCCAAATTCGCAAAGTTTTGAGTCAGATTCGACCTGACCGCCAAACATTAATGTGGTCTGCCACCTGGCCAAAAGAAGTAAAAAAATTGGCTTTAGACTTCATGAAGTCCTATGTCCAACTAAATGTTGGGTCGCTGGAGTTATCAGCTAATCATAATATTATGCAGATCGTTGATGTTTGTCAAGAGCACGAAAAAGATATCAAGTAAGTGACTTACGTCCATATATTATTCATTGCTGCTTTTTACAGTTGATTTTTTTGTTTCAGATTGAACAACTTGCTGCAGGAGATTGCGATCACTCTGGACCCGGCATCCAAAATCATTATCTTCGTCGAAACCAAGAAAAAAGTGGAAGGCGTAACACGCAATATTAGAGGATCCGGATGGCGAGCTGTGTCGATGCATGGCGACAAAAGCCAAGATCAACGGGACTATGTGTTGAAAGAATTCAGAAATGGCAAAGCTTCGATTTTAGTAGCCACTGATGTTGCCGCAAGAGGATTAGGTAAGACCCTCAATAACAGGTAAACCTTCGGGCATTGGAAATTGTGAATTTAGAATTCAAAATTCATTGAGTATACCTTTGATGTTGAAATATGGAAATATTTTTAGTAGCGTCATGGAGAACTTTAGTTACAATGCAAAAGTCGGAATTAATTGTATCCAGCCAAATTACTGTTGTAGCTAAAGTGTCAATGGCAATATTCATTTAGGATTTTCAGACTGTTTTTGTTGGTATTAACTAATTTATAGTACATGTTTTGATAATTTTGAAAGTTGTGCAGTAGTTGGGGTATATTTCTTACCAGTTCAACTGGAATGGGGTCCATTTATCATTTGGCTGATATATAAACTGACTTTTTTTGCGATTTAAAAAAAATTAAAATTGTTTTGTCTTGGGAAAGGATTTTAAGAATTCAAGAAAATAATATTCGGAAAAGCATATGATTTCTCAACAACTGTATTTTGGATAAATTTGTACTAATCAGTCTGGCTGTCCTTTTTGTTTCAGAGGCACGGGCATGATAGCGATTATTTAATGAGGCTAGTTTAAGCCTTTAGAAAGTTAAAGTTTAAACATCAGCGGATATTTGTCTTGCGGGTGCCTCTTATGACCATCGGAAGAACGTTTGGTTTGAACGTCTGGAGTAAGACGTTTATTTCAGTCTTCCAATTGGTCAATTTGTCTGCTGAGGTGTTTCAGTAATTTTTGGACGTTCACACACACACTATGAGATCAAACAGTAAATTATTGTCCAGTGTTAAAAATGCTAAGGCAACTGCAAGTGTGTGGAGGTATGAATACTGCTTCACTTAAGTAAGGCAGACACGCTACTAATTACCCATCTAGGTTACTCGTTGTGATTTGAATCTAGCATTTATTCACAACTTCATGGATTTTCCTTAGAGTTATCGACACGGTTAGTATATAAAATTTATTTTGGCATGTTGATTATGTAGATTTTGCGTTTCTGCTTTTGGTGGCCAAATATGGGGTTTTATATGCTTTGGTGAACGTTGATGGCTACTTTTAACCAATTGTTTAGTGATAATTTAAAACGGATTTGGTTATTGATATATTGACTTCAGCAGTATTAATTTGTGTGGTACTTGAACCAAGAACTGAAGTGTTTCCACTAGAATTTCATTCTTTCAGAATATTGGGAGGTTTTTTAAAACATTCAAACGAATTTTTGTCACAGGGCTAAGGCTTCCAATAATTTCAATTTCCTTCACAAATAACATCCAATTTTTTGTAAGTATACGGATAAACTGTGGATTTTTTCATTCATTTCAATTCAATTCAAAATTGCTCAGGTTTTTCGAGGTCTTATTTGACATAAATATATTTTTTTATCTTTTGCTGAACCAATGTAACAACACGAAACGTTGATTTTTGCGCCAACTAGCAATTGATTCTACTATTGATTTATTTATATGATTAGATGTAGACGGAATTAAGTACGTTGTCAACTATGATTACCCACATTCGTCCGAAGATTATATTCATCGAATCGGAAGAACTGGCCGATGCAATTCCACGGGAACTTCATATGCGTTCTTTACTCCCTCTAATTCCAAGCATGCTAAAGATTTAATTTCTGTCCTGCAAGAGGCTAAACAGGTATATATTTATTTTCTGTTTTTTATGTGTAAATGTTATTTTTGTTTTGATTTGTATGATAGATTGTTGACCCAAAGTTGCAAGAGATGGCCCGCAATAGCTACAACGGTAAGCCAAATAGATGGGGCGCAAGGCCTTTCAAGGCAAGACAGAATGGAATATCGTCCCAAAAGTCCGGGTATGGCGGATTCCGCAATAATGGATACAATGGATATTCCAAAATTAATGGTAAGTATTGCTTGCAATTAACATTCGGACAACGAAGTTAAACATACTGTATTTGCAGGTTACTAATTGGAGTAAATGGCTGGTACCACTTCGTTAATATCGTAAATGTTTCCTTGTTGATCACATGTGATTTTCATGTTTTAGAATAGCTATTGCATTTCAGTCTTCGTTCAATACTAAAAGTATTATTGATAATCTATATCTTTCACGTTTGTAATATGTGTTTGTTTATGACTGTGATAGAAGTAGATTTCTTCTTTTAGCCGTAAGTTTTTGGTTCACCACTATGTATTATTTATTACAAAATTGAACGTTTAGCAAAAATAAATTATCTTTTCATATATGGTGTTTTTTTTTCTATTTTTCCCGCTTAACTTGTAGGTATTTTTTTCCTGGTTGGTTTGACTCCATTGAAACATGCGGAAGCTTTCCAGAAAATGCTGCAAGTAATATGGAATATATTGATTAAACATTTTCGATATTTTGATGGTATTTGTTGACTGGCACAGAGGTTTCTATAGTATTCATGTGTCATATTGATTTATTTTCAGTTGATTTTTGTTCTAAATAATTATTGTCCCACCCTGAAATGAGTTCTTCGGATGAGTCCAATCGACTGAACAACTGCGTAACATGCGAACAAATCAAGTACAGCCAGGAAGACGAGACTTTGTCGAGTAATTCCGAAGGAAAACAAGAAAGTGTGGAGTCCTTACGCTTGAATTTTAACCAAAGCAAGTTGGAAAAGATTAGACATCCAACTGTACAACAAAACAAAACGTTTTCTTTGGAGAAAGTCAGAGAGATTGAGCGCAGAAATTCGATGCTTGTGAACAGGATTTTGTACCACAACCGGCGACCAAACCAGTATAAACTTACCGTTGCTAGTTTACCGAAAATAACCAGCGCAGAGATCAATAGAAGACGGTTTAATGAGAAAATAGCCAAAGACAATCAGGTAAGGTCCCGGTTACGTTTCAGCCTAAGGTAATTTTGTGATTTTTTAGATATTGTTGAAAAAAATTCAATCCGTAAAACCAGCAGTGAGATACCCATAAAGATGTCTGTGAAGTAACATTTTACAGTATTTTCTATGATTTTAAATAGAGTTTTGTTGAATTGATTTTTGCGTTTCTGGATAGTGGCCGACAGTGCTTAAGCAAAATCACAATTTTCGTGTTTTTAAACTAACTAACGTTTAAAGTCTATCGTTCTTAAGTATACGATTTTGAATTTTGTCAGTTTTTTTTAAATTGATTGATTTCGCTGATTAATGTTCATTCAGAGAGACAACACGTTTTTCACTTGCTGCATCGTTTATTAACTGATGAGAAAATTTCAAAGGCATTCGCAATAAACTGCAAAAAACTAAACGAGTTTTCAACGTGAGGAAATAGTTCCAACTAAGCTGTCCAATCGCTTTATGATATATTAAACATGATCTATCAGAAAAAATATATTTTTAACACGCAATTTGCAGTTTATTACCTAGATGACCAAAACGTCACAAAAATAAGAGGTGTGTTACAGTTTCGAACAAGGAAGGGGGAGTATTTAAACGTTACAGTCTTGAAATTGAACTGTTCATAGACCTACATCATTGAGAGAAACATCTACAGACACGACATATCACTTGAATCTAGATTATTCCCAATGTTGGGACCAGGGTGAGCCGCTGCCGCCACTTGTAAAAGGATTGAATGGACCTGCTTGCTGCTGCTGCTGCTGCTGCTGTTGGTAACGTTTTTGTTCTTCCTGTAATTAGGACTCAATTGTGAACTCAAGGTGAATTGGAAAAGTTGATTAAGATTCAAGAGCTCAGGCTTTTTTAAGAGGTTTAAAGGTTTAAGAAACAAATTGGTTTGTTTGATTAAGTTGCGTGTTAAACGTATACAGGTCCTGCACGTAATTATGTACGTTAAAGTTCTTAGATTATAAGAAGTCATATACAAATGGGGAGGTGCCAAACAACAAAACTACTCAAAACAAGCCACACAATTTATCAATTGGAGTTAACTGTTGGATATTTGATCTCCAAAATGGCGAAAACTATTAATTTTTGTTGTTTTTCTTTAAAACGGTTAAACATAGAAACTTCAATTTTGGTATACATTATAAGCTAATTGAGTTCCATTCTATGGTAGTGTTTTGTAGTTCAGTTTACTTTTATACAGGGTACAAATGTGGAACCTCTACTTTTGTTTTGTTCAGAACTTTGTTTGTACACCTAAACTTTAATCAGCATAATTTTTTGAATTACTACAAGTTGTTTATCACTTTTTGATCTCTCATTGTTTTTTCCTAAGGGCACTAATTTGCCCCCAAAAAAATGAAATCGTTTCGGCTTGATCAAAACTTTCCCAGCCATTGAATTGGGGTCAAGAAGGTCCTCGTCTCCTAGATCTCCCGATCTAAACGCGCTTGATTTTCACTTCTGGGGCCATTTAAAAAACACGGTATATTCAACAGAAGTGAATACAATCGAAGAACTTCCGGAAATAATGTTTCATATTTCGGTGCAAACTTTACGGTCTGTAAATTTTAGTTTCATTAAAAGACTGCGATTATGCCAAGAATGTCAAGGTGACCAATTTTAACAGCTGCTAAGTTAACATCAGAATGGTTATTTAAAATAAATTTTGCTTGTTTATATCGTTGCACATATTGTTACCTTGTTATTATTTAAGTAAAATTTATTCAAACTTAATAATTATAATCTGAACCAAAATGCACAATTTAGAAAAATAATATAGGTTGTTAGTAATCAACTAATAATGCGTGGAAAAATTATTATATGAACCCGTTATCAGATTTAAAAAATTAACTTAATTACTTACACATTTTGCGAACGGCAAAGAAAACGCTTTTATTTTTTTGCTGTCAGACTAGTGCGTTGGAAACCAAATATCTCAACAACGAAACATCAAATTAAAAAAATTCCCAGGAAGACCCCTTCTAAAATAACTAGAAGAACAAGCTGTTAAAATATTTTAACATATTTACGGAACACCCTTTATAAAGCCTTCAAGTTGAAGCAATCCTGTTTACACAAACTGGATAAAATTAGCGATAAGAATATATTTTTAATTGAGAAAGGAGTTCCAAAAAGGGTCGTGAGACCAAATCTTACAAAGCAACTCCTCCTCAAGACAGGTTGGAATTGGGAAAACAATTTTAAGATTCCCCTTTGTGTGAAATTCTGGATTTGGCGGAGTTCGAGGGGCTTTGCTAGCACCTCCTCATATGCATTTTCCCAAAATTTAAACTTACTATTTGAAATGTTCAAAGAACGCACGGAAAGCAAACAATAAAAAACTTTACAGTTGCGGATAAAGTAAACTCAAGCTTTGAGCGATTGAAAAAAAGCAGCACGTAAATAAGTAGCTCGCAACATACTCGGCCTGCAGGATAAAGCCATTTAAAGGGGGCTTAAATTATATAATAGTGCAATTCTTACCTCGGCTCTTTTCTTCTTTTGAATTTGTTCATCGAAGCCAGGAGGCGTGCGCCGAACACGATTCGGCGACTGTGTGTGAGGAGTCCAAATGGAGTGGGATCCCCACAAATACGAGGCATTATTCGCCAATTTGGAAGTAGAGTTCAGCACACTACTGAACGTGTTTGACCAATAGCCTCTATTGGCAGGAGGAGACGTTGAGAGTGCGGGCCCGCCTCGCCAAGAATCATCTGTTTCAAGAAAAAATGTATGAGAAAACATAACTTTTACTGCACCTCCAAGTACCTTCCAGGACAGGTGGTGAGAATAAATTTGTTCGAATAGTTTCATCCGGCGGGATACTTGTGTCGCGAAACAGTTGCTGCCTAGGCCAACCAATAGCCTGTTCTTCACGGGGTACATTTTGCGGCTGATGAGAGAAGAAACTGGGAGGACTTCTATTGGCTCCGGTCATAAAAGTGTTATTAGCCACAGCAGCAATCACGCTCGTATCGTTTATCGGATAAAATTCGGGTGGTTGAACCTGCCGACTCGGAGGAAGATACTGGGCGCCTAAACACATAATACCAATCACACACTCAACAAAACATTTTTTTCGAAATTTACCCTCATGATTGAACAAATCTGGACTCATACTATCTGGGGTTCCCATTCGTCTGGACCCAATAGGACCTAAATCGATGGGTTTATAGGGTTCAACGTACATCGTAGGTTTGGTGCAAGGTTTGTTCTGTTTGAATGGGCTGATGCTTTGCGCGAAACAAGGCTCATCTTGAGGATATACTGAAGGTGACTCTGAACTTTGAGTGTAAACCGGGGATGGGGCGCTTGGGGGTTCGCTGCGAGCTACAACATCACTGGAAAAACAGGACATTAAATTATAAGCTCGGATAGGATGAACTTGTGGGGTTTGGCAAACCTAAATCGGGCCTTGTTTTCGCTCCAACCGGGACAAGATGGGGGAGCAGTTGGAAGCGCTACGAAAAATCCAGGGGCTTTAGGAGCTTCCGGTTCAGCCGCAGGCTCGTTTTCCATGACAAATTGCTTGCGTTCATTATGACTCTTGTGTCGAAAAATTAACTTATCTTTGCGCTCCTTGAATTTCGGCTCCCTTCGTCGTTTTTCTCTGAAAAAAAAAACTCACATGCATCGCGTTCTCGCTGAAATACTTTAAGCCTACCTGCTAATATTGTGAATGAATGTGGATTTGTTATCTGTGCCTTTAGCTGGCGACTCTTGCTCTTTCTCTTGTTCCCCTCCAGCCGGTTTGTTTGCCTTGATCCTTAATTTACTATTTACAAAGCTAACGTGCTTAATCTTACTGTCTTGAGCCTCTTTCGAATTGATCACGTCGTTTACAGTCTGGGACGAAACATTCACTTTCTGTTTCGGCCAGTTTAGTCTTTGGTTTTCCTTATCAACCTGCAATTATTTATAATGGTTGCGTGGAATATTTTCATTTAAATCTAAATATCTACCTCATCACAGTTCATACTACTATTACTGCTTTCGGTCGTAGTGGAGGAAGATTCTTCTTCCTGTGCAGGTACTTGAATCACTTTGCACTGCTTTTTCGGAGCAGCACTTTTTTTGAGATCAACCTCCTTCTGTTGAGCGTGCTTATCTTTCTTCCCCTTTTCCCCCAATAACTTCAGCTCTTTTTCAGTTTTTCGCTCTCGTGACTTCAAGCGGTGCCTTTCAAATAGAATATCCTTTTTCTTTTGTCGTTCTCTCACCCGTTCTCGTTCCAGTTCATCTTCCACGCTATTTTCTCTTTCATTCAGACTGCTTTTTTGACAGAGCTTCCGTTTAGCTCTTCCGGTTGTTGGGATTATTGCAGGTTCAGACTTCGTGTTTTCTGTCTCCTTAGCCTCTGGAGCATATTCGGTTTTCACCTAGAAAGCATTATCGTTAACTTATTATATTATTAGTATACTAGATTGCTTTGTCCTGCTTAGATCTTCTCAGATTGAAATAAATCATTGATATTTTGATGGAAACCTTTCTTACCTTTTCTTTCAAAGATGTCTGAAACTCCACACGAACCTGTCGACCAATTTGCCGAAGATCAAGTACGGGTAACATGGGAGGAGTATTTGAGACCATATAGATCGCCAGAGCTTTTGCTTTTGCCGTATTGGCGTCTAGCAGTGCTATGGCAAAAACTAGGAGGAGCATTACAGTGAGGAAAACGTTAACTATGTAACTCATGACAATTTCCCATGATGGCCGATCTAATAAAACGCTGCAAAATCGACAATAATGCCGGGAAACCGTTGCTTTCAGAGAATAATTGACGAACGTATTTAGACTGGTCCCTATAATCAGGACTCTGGATATCTCGTGCAGAGTTAGATCTGGAGTAAATGCCAGATCGATTTTCCTTGAAGTGTTGGGAGACAACATGAATGGTTCGCAATTAATGACCTATAGAAACAACGAAAACCCCAATAACCTACATTTATAATGGCCCAAAAAACACTTGCCTTAAACCCGAATCCCACGCAGGAATATCCGTTGATAAAAAAACTTGTAACATGCACGGGAATTTCACCTAAGTTTTTGGCCGCAAAGCTCTCTATAATCGTCAGGTTGGGTAGGAAAGGATTCTGATTCAGGTCCGAATTGCAAGGCCGCATGTGCTTTTCTGATAATTCGAATTGCAAAGGCTTTTGGTCCCCGGGTTGCAAAGTGGCAAATTCAAAGAGCGGAATCGTGCCTTTTCCATTCAGGCGCACCACTTCAAGAATAGTGAGGTTGTTGCGAATCAGAAGCAGACTGGAATAGGGTCTTGCCTCTTCAGCAGTAAAGTCTGTAAAGACAAAACATTGCAAATTCTAGTTGAATCGGCCGATAGGAAATTACCTAAATTGACCCTCTTGGATTGACCAGGCATTAAGATAAGCGGCAGGGATTGCTTGTAAACGTTAATTCTGAGATTTTCAACAAAGTGTTTTTGCTGATTTTCCATCACGCGCTTGTCAAAAGAAAACCAATTCGCACTGGTGTATTTTATGTCCGAAGGGGGAATAAAGCTGCTGGGCAAGCCGTCGTATAGCATTTCAGCGTGTGGATAGTCGTTTTCAAAAATTAACTGAACGACTATGCTATGATTGGCAGGATTTTGCAAAATCAGGGTTTTGTGTGAAGAGTTTCGAACCTGAAATTGACACTAGTTAGACCCAGTTACAGGGCGAGTTTACCTGCAACTCACTTGGGTAAGAGGAAACTCCAGCGTTGAATTAATAACGGAAGTTTGCCGCACCAATTTAGGCCAAGTGTAGTTGATTTTGCTGACAAATATTTGGCCCTTCACTCCAGAGGTATCCAGCCGCAAGCTAATGTTCCTAGTTTTGGCCCCGTTTTCAGTGAAATTCAAAAATCGACCATAAAAACTGGAGGCAAGTTTCATATCGTATTCTGATACCTGTTTGGTGATGACTAGAGTTCGGAGCCACGAAGCTGCAAAGCAATCTGGTGGTGATTTGCAAAAACAAATGGTGAGAAGGGCCATACCTGAGCCTTCACTAATAAAACCAGTGTAACAGTTCGGGCCACAGTTAGACTCGGGATTAAAGTACATATAACCGATAATCCGGTTCACTTTAGGCAAAATGTTGCTGGTAATAGCAGCGAATACTCTTCCGTCTGGAGGAAGAGTAAGGATATTTTCAACCGACATTTTCTCGGAAAATGACGAAAACACTCGGAGTGGGTGAGTACAAGTTTTTCCCTGCAATCCCCGTATTGCCAGCTTAACATGTATGCTAAAATGCGCATTTTATACTTACAGGAAAACAGTTATCAAACAGAAGATCATCTCGATCAATGATCATTTCGCCAGCAGCAACTTTGTAGCTGACAGGAAATGATAAATTTTCATAAACAGTTTGTATATGAATATCACCTTTAACATAACCATCATCATCATTTGTATTGATGGTCATTTTAACAACGGCATAACCTTGCGCAGCTACGCTATCCTAAAAAAACAAGGATTTGTATGTAAAACACCCTAATTTATAGCTAATTAGTACGGTCAAATTAAGCCTGTTTCGGGCGCTAAATGGATGCAGGTAAGATTATTGGAAGTTGTACAGAAGGAAACGTAAATTAATGTTTCGATAGCATCAAGGGTTCAAAAGCTATGCGCAAAAAAACGGTTTTTGGCAATTTCTTCGATTATTTAAAAAACGAGCAAACTATTGTCATCATATCCTGCCGAACAACTCCCAATACTCTTTTACCTTCATCCATTTAGTACCTGAAAAAAACCTGATCCAACTGGACTAAATGGATATAGTTGATAAACTTACACATTTAGTGAGATTCTCAAAATTATGGTACATCAGCACATGCTTGTGATCACCCACTCCACAACCAAAAAGTTCAAACTCGCTGGTGGCTAATGAGGTAGTCAAATGTAAGAGTGCCAGCTCAACGGGATTAGGATTGTTCAAACTGAAGACTAGTTCCATCTTCTTGTGATGACCGATTAGACCTATATTGAGCGACCGACCGTCACTAGGATATGGTAAGTGCTGAAATAGGCAAAGCTCGATGTGCTTTTTTTCACTGCAGAGCAAAGAAGCGGCTTACGATTTGCAGTTTTCCATTATAACTTAACAATGGCACATTCATTTCAGACACGTTGGTTAGTATTTTAATATGGCTGGTCAGCTGCATATCAGTCTTCTTAGCGGTGGGCTTCAACCAAATGTTAAACAGACTTTTCTTCTCAAGAGGATGCACTGTTAGTGGAGTTAATGTCTGAACCTGAAAAAGCATCTGGTTTTGATACTCGATAATTTTCCAATTATTGGGTAGCCTTACCTTAAACGTAGTATCCATATCAAAAGGAAATTTAACATCTACAATCTGAACTGAAAGATTAAAATGATTGACAACCTCAAAGTTCCGCTCGTTCGTGTCCATTTCCTGCTCATTTAGAAAATACGTTGTGGACATTTTGTCGTAGCTGAGCCCGCCTTTAAGTACAGTCAAAAAGTAAGGGATTTCTGTGCGATTCTTTCCCCCTTGCAGTTTCACTATTATCTTGCCGTGATAGTCTTCAAATTGCCAAGCATTTTTCCCTGAAATCAATTCGGGCATTCATACATGAACAGGTTGGAATAAACAATCTAATAGAATGAACACTTACAATCCAAAGTTAAAGTTCCCACATTGACGCACTTGTTTTCATCTTCGCCTGGAGGGTTAATTCTTATGTTGTAGTAATGGATTTTAATGGACTTTGATAGAGTAGATACACTGTGAACACGGACGGCCCGTTTCAGCGGATTATGAAGACATAAATTGACTTCTTTTGGTTCGTCCAAGGAGCCTGCGATACCAAAATCCACATACCCTTGCGGATGGAAAACATTTTGAACTTCAGTAACTTCCACTTCAAGTGGAACTATCAAAATTTCTTCAGGATCGTGAAGTTTTATTCTGAAAAATTATTTTACGATCAAAGTCTACCAAACGTTAGCTTTTCCCGCAATATATGCACCTGATATAAGCTGTATGATTGTGCGGTATTTTTGCGTCAAAACGAATTCGAATCACTGCCTTCGTTTCATAGGGATTAATCTCCCAAAGACCATTCGGTCCTTCGTGCTGTCCGCCAGGAAGCTCTAAGTGGAATCCACCTCCACTGCTGAGAATTTCGACAATCTAATATTGAAAACATCTTAAAATAAACCTAGTAAAGTCGCGAGACAATGCAAGTGAACTTCTATATTGTACAAAAAAAGATTAAAACAATCGCAGTCAATAGGAAAAAGTACCTGTATCGCCTGCGAATGAGGGTTGTGCATGTAAATAACCGGGGTAAAAGTCGAATTCACCGGCAATTTTACACCTACGATGGGTCGAACTTTGTAACTGTTAAACGTGCCAAATGCTTTCACCTAAAATAAGTTTTATCCTCAATATATTAAAGTGACCTGAGTATTGATAAACAAATATTTATTGAAATTAAGTAAATAATTTGCGAACAGGGCTCGTTTTCGGAAAGAATTTAAAACAGCAATGGAGGAACCAAAAATGACTTTTAAGAGAAAATGGTGATTTCAACGCAGAGTTGGTAAGAACACAAAATGCAATACTAGTATATGAAAACACGCCAAGAACGTGGCAAATATAATGGTAAACAAATTGGAGACTTTCGTTTGATAAACGTTATTTTCCTAGATCGCTATAATGGTGGAAGAAAGATGAACGCTCAAAAAGTTTCAACGGTATTAAGGTATTTTTGCAATTTTGCAAGCATATTTCGACTTTCTCAACAAGCGAAAAAGTTTATATAAACTTGAGGTTTCTTTTTTAACTTTGAAATATTTTTACACATTATTTTGTGTGACAAATTAAAAAAAAACAGTACGTTTAATATTAGTGTATAGCACCCGCAAAAAGCTTCATAAAGAAGTAAATTCAAAAAAGTGTTGACTTACATTATATTTCACAAATCCATTCGATGTGTGTAGAAATAACGAACTTTCTACGGGTCCTTCGTGCCTTCCTAAATACACAACTTTAAATGTTGTGTTGCCATTTGGTGGAATTTGCTGAGCAAAAAGGGCATTTTTAGCATTTTGCATTAAAATTTTGCAATTTTACATTTCGTGTAGTTAAAAAATTGCTTTTAGTATTCAAAAGCTTGAATTTGGCCAAACTAGTGTCGTCAGTTTGTGTTATTTAATCCTAACTCTATGATTCCTAAGGGCTGGGTCAAGCAAGTATATAAATCTTACAAAATTCAGGCTTTAGACTACGTGAGGAAGGCTCCAGATAATTAATACTGCGGAGTGATCAATTATTAAACTATTTATAAATTTTTAAAAACAACTTTTTATAATGAACATACCTTATCTTCAAAGAAAGAGCTATGGAAATGTACAGTATTTCCAGAAATGGATGATAAGTCGACAGTTTTATTGCTATCAGTATTAAAAAGGGTAACAATCCTGGAATGCGGTGTTCCAAGCGACCTTAAAAAAATGTTTTGTAACAACAGAAGATTTATGTAGTTTTTCGTAATTTACCGTTCGCGGAAATCTAAAACCTCTGGATCAAAGCGCAAGTTTAGATTATCCAGAGAATCTACATTTTGGAAGTACCTTAAGGAGCCAATTTCCTGAAAAATACCAAAGTATTTATCCAGAATGGAATGGATTGTTGTTTCCAGCGTTTTTACCTCATGAATGTGGGATAATTCGTCGTCAAAATACCGGGATTTTTTTGTCATAAATCCTGAAACCAAAATAGCTAATGTGTAGGCAAATAAGGATTTTTTTTCATAAAACTTACCATGGCCACTGTCATGAAACGTTAAATGGGTTATCCGGATCAGTTGCATAAATGTAAACAGAAACGTATAAAATAAAGCTTGTTTTTCAAACATTTCTCGTTTCTCACGGATTTATCTTCCAAAATGCTTAATATTTTCATTTTGACCTGACATTGCTTTTATGATTTTCATCGACTATTTATGTCACTTTTTCAATCAGCCTACGCTTCCTCTAGGCAATTCTCCTATTGGCAGTACTGGATCATGTACTGAATGATGTGCAGGGTTTTTCATGTAAAATATCATCTGTGGTTGCCAGAATGTAGGCTAAATTGCTGTGCAATGAAGAAGACATAGTAAGCAACCTGAATTAGTTGACGTTTTCAGTGTTTTTTCTGTTTTGGTTTATATTTTGTAACGATTTGTATTGTAGAAAAAATAGTTTGTAAATTAATTGGTAAGAATTGTATTTGCCACTAATTCTTTTCAGCATTTTTTCTTCTAGATCTTGTTTAAATGCTGTTTTTAATGTGTGCTCCAATTTCACAGTCCCTTTTACGCCTTTATTTCCTACTCTATCTCTTTTAGGGACTTCCTGGGTTCTTTTTAGATATTTCATATCCTGCCAGGATTTTACTCTTGATATAATTTTTAGTAGCCAACTTTGATACTGCCATAATGTTATACTTATAATGTTTTATCTGAAACTTCTTTGCTGCCTATAGAATTTCTGACTAATTTTTTAGTTTAACCGGCCTTCTTGTTGGAATTGAACAATACGAGCATCTTTACTAACAACTTTTATTATTGGTGTTTCTTGTGGAATACTTAGCAGTTGTCGATCGCTTTTCACTCATTGAACTTCAATACTTGTTCGTTAACTTTAAATGCCTCAACATTACTTTATTTTCTAGATACTAGGACTAGAATGAAAAGGTGTAAACTTTCGTTAGATATAGAGCAGTAGTGCAGTATTTTCAACATAAAAAGAAGCGAAAAACACGTTAAGCGACAAAATTAACAGAAGTCAGTTGCGCAATTTTTATTTGTTAAAAATATTAGTCGGGTGTCCTCCTGGAGGCCACTGTGATAATAATTGATCCAAAAAGCCTTTTTTATATTTCAGTCTCATTTACATTTAAAATGAAGCATTTCCAGACTTATATCTATATAAACCCTTTTTTACAAATCATTCACAGACTCGCCTATTGAGGTTTAATTGGCTACGTATCTTCACGTCATTTCTTTTAAACGCAACCGCCTATGAAATAAAGAACAAAGTACCCTACAAGGCAATCTAACGTTAAATGATTTATTGTCGATTTTTTCTTCAACACCATTGTCAGCATGTTTTACATAATGTACATTACTAAGTAATGAATACAAAATTGGCAGATTCTACGCCTGTATGATTGGGGTGATAATCTCAAATGTTCAACAATCTTTAACATTACTACTAACATATTAGGCAAGAGTTGGAATATCAATCTTTCAAATTTGAGATATACAATCGGCCCAAAAATAATCTGAATGTCTACTTAAGTAAATATAACATAGAATATATAAAAATGTATAACAATAGAGCAATAACATTTATTTAAACAAATATTCGTTTCAGGTCTACATACATACCTACATACTAAAAACTAATAATAAGAAAGTAGAACAGTAAAATGGGAATTTGCACTGTGAGTGGTAACCGTTTAATCATATCAGGCAACAGAAAATTATTGTTTTCACTCATATATAGAAGAAAACTGATTAAGTACAGGAAAAATTTACTAATGACTTCGAATAACTTACTAATGACCTAGACTAAAATTGGCAAATCTCTGCAACGATTATTGTTTATGTAGGTAAATTAATATAAATATGGGCAAGTTTTAAAATAAATCAACAAAGCAGATTCGCATTTAGTTAGTCTTTTGTTTGTTCTTGAGGAATTTGTGAGTTTCGTATGTGTTTCCTTGTCCGCAACCGACGTCCATACCGAAAAATACCTGATTGCCCTGAAACAACACATTATTATTTTTTGACGAATATAGCAGCTGGAAATAATAAAATTTATGTATTTTATAAACCTACTTTATCGATGTATGCTTTAACGTAGAAGTTTCCAAACAGAACAATGAAGGACAACATGTAGAAAATGAGGGTGTAATGCATCCACAAGGGGAATTCACACCCTGTCCTGATCCCATTCACACCCAAAATAAGGGCACAAGTAAATTGAATCTAAAAAAATTGTATGTGCATTAAACAGTTTGCAAATATGATTTCCAATAATATACTTACAAGCTGCAAAATGGTGAGGTACTTTTTCCACCATAAATATTTGGTAACTCTTGGCCCGAATACAGATAGTCCGTAATACGCATAAAGTAGAACATGAATTGAGGAGTTGACCATAGCAGGCAAAAATGCTGGAAAAATATAAATGATATTAGTTGAAAGTTGAGTAGGTTTGGATGTTCTATTTTAACAATAACTGCCTTTTTCTATATAGAAACCGAGTTACAAAAATAATTGATCATGCTTACCAAACGCGACATAAAGGTGACCAAAATTTAACTATTCCCTTCTGGGGCCAGAATGAAACGGAAAAGTTTTCGGGGAAAGTTTTTTCTAAGGTGTGAAACTTTATTCAGCTCATATGAATTAAATTCAGAGAAATGGAGACTTATTTCTATAATGTATATATGTTTTTTTCATAGCATTCTTTTGATACATCTTAGGACTATTTAAGCGTTTTATTCGAGATAAAAAATGCAAATGTGACTGAATTGACTTGAACAAATTTATTATTATTATAAAAACGTTTTTTTCTTAAACTTCTTTCTCACATACTTTCAAACACCCAATATCTTGCTCTTTTATCGGCTAACTAAGAGAAGAGAAGAATTTCTCTAAGTAAATCTTTCTTAGATTTTTGTCTCTCGAACTCTGAAACAACCTGTAACGTCTGGTATTTCTCCATAATATTAAATTTATCATTAAAAATAACCCGTCGATGATACGATTAAGAAACTGTAGTTCCTGCCCCAAGCGATAATCAAAAATTTCGTTTAGTAGAGAGGAGACTTTCACTGTGGAAGGTTAATGTTCTTCGATTAATCTTTAATATGCTTCCTTTCATTTGCCATCGTTAATATTGTATAGGTAGTAAAAGTGCAAAATCTCACTCAAAATTGAACTTTTATTGCCCACTTTTTTGAAAATTTCATTACTTGAAGAATGCGTTATTCGTTATATTCGAAAGTTTTAATTTATACAGAAATTGTTAGGAATTGAAAGTAAAGGAAGTGGAAGCCCTAAGTATACAAGAAAAAAAATGCAAATGCTCAAACTTTCCAGTTCATTTGCTCAAGCGTCATTGCGTAATTAGGACTAATTAAAACCAGCAACAGGAATATAAAGGCAACTAAATCAAATAATTTCCTTCTTTGGCACATTCTCAGAGAGTAGAAAGCGAAAATATGTCCGTTTAAGTTCATTTGGATAATGACATAAATATCAATTATCACATAATGTTTGACGACCGTTTTAAGTAATCTAGTCGTTTGCAACCTGTTATCAAACAGTATGCAAACCTGTTTCCTCTTCTAGACCTTGTCGTTCAAACCATATCGAGTTTGATTTCCCGAGTTTAACATTACTCACTTAATTAATTGTGTTATTATTAAATTAAGACTCACTTGAACCACTTGGTACCCATTTGATTCCGATCCACCACAGGAAGAACATTGTTGAATGATGGTATACATGTAGGAAGGATAATTGATTCTTCTTTTTCCTCAATATGAAGAACAAGGTGTCGCAAAACTCTAATAGTTTGGAGAAATAGTACCACCAAACAGCGTTAGCAATCTGAAAACCAAACAAATGTTATATAATGGTTTATTACAATTAATTATAAGTTAAATTTTTAAAGTTCCATTGATAACAAGTTTCACAATATTAAAAGAAAGTTTACGATATGTATAACAAAGAGAAGCTCGAGTTCCAACTGTTTATTCCAAATATGGGCAATATGAAAAAATCGAAGTTATTAATGCACCGTCAAGTTGATGAAGAACCGTTAGATTGTACACCGAGGAACATATGCCATCAGCATATTATTAGAAAATACAAAAAATATTGAAATGAGGAAACAGAAGTAAGCATAAGTATCGTCTTGCACCAACATTATTAATGGTTACGCTAAGAAAGACTCGAAGAAAGGGGTTAAAAAATTAATTTAATGAGCTGTGTGCTTTCTTCTTAGCCCGGCCTCAGAAATACGAAGAACATGCGTTCAAATAGTAAACTGCAKTCTTGCAAGAAATGAAGAAGTTAGCGATTGTCTTCGAGTAGCATTCAAAGGAACTAACAAACTAACAGATTGGAATGAGAAATTATTGGAAGAATGAATGAAGTGGCGACCATATAAGAGAAATTCCTGTAAATCGGACTTCATTTTCAATTAATTTACCTGCAATTCATCAGGATCATTTTTCTGTCGACATGGTTCACAAATATAGCTGTACTTCAGTCTTGTTGATGCTGTAAGCAACTGGAAAACAAAAAAAAAACGTTAATTTTCCCATTAGAACTTGCTGCATGAAGAACTTGCGCTGTTTTTATCGACGTTTCTAACAAAATCAACATGAAATAATGAATTACCTGTGAAGCGATATATCCATTCAAAATTGCCATAGCCATATTGTACGGTACAAGTAGGGGTGTTAGCTTGAATGGTTTCCGTTTTTCCATATATTTCGGTCCTATCCATACAAGGAAGAGATAAAGGGCAGTGAAGAGAAGGGTTGGAACTGGTGAATCGACTAGCGCCCATCCTCTCGTTCTTTTATCTGCAATGGCGTCAACATTAGGGTGAATGCAATAAATAGAAATCTGGTGGTGCGGATGCGATTATTAGCTAATTCTCTACAGCTAAAGAAAGAAAGTAAAATGCATTCAAGCCTAATTTAACTATTATATTCGCTTCATTTGCGATGTTATCAACCCAGGAAATTATTACATGTCATTTGGTACCCAGAGGTTGGATCTCCAGTTCGGATAACTTTCTCTGTTGTTAATAATATATGGAAGTAACACGTTACATTGTGCGCGTTAACTCATTAATTTAGCTGCGAAAGTTTAGTGATGATGATGATTGCATAGTGCTGAACTATTCAGAGATGCTGAATTGAAGCAATGATGAGATCAATTATTTTTCTTTCATTTGCTTTTTTAAATTATACCGCAAAATGTTGAAGAGATGTGAAGTTTTCAAAGCAAGAAGTGCAAAATTAAACAATAGATCTTACCTGATAACGTTAAAGTCCATAAGTAATAATCGTAGGCTTGCTGGAGGGCCGTTTGTGTTGAATTAATTAATTCGGCCATCTGAATGCCGATTTTACAGCTAATGTTCCTGAAACAAAAAAACCGGTTAGCGTATTTAATCGAATGTGAAATTTTCATGAATTAAATTAATGTCCGGAACAGGACCCAATTATTTCGCATCGGCGTCTTGTATTAATTATCGATTAAAATCCCAAGAATTTCAACTAGAGTATTTAAGAAAATAATTAATATTATCTGAGCACCACTGAGTAAACCAGCCGATGCCAAGAGACCGAAAAATATTGCCGCTGACGCATCGCCCCTGAGAATGAAAGCAACATAAGCAACCGAAACATAGGGCAAAAATGCCCTTAAACTAAGTCACGCACGGAAAATTGTCCCATTATATAGGTATACATGCTGACTCAATTAAAGCGCAATAATTTTACGAACGGTTATCGAAATACCGTTATAGTTATAAGCGCAAAGTCAAATTGTTTTATATCACAGTGGTTTACACAATCGAAAAAATGGGAATTTAAATGCACATTTTTAAAAGCCATGATTTCCTGCAGAAAAAAGGCTCCGATCCGAAAAGCTTCAAAATTGTTATCTAGAAAAACGACAGTTTATTATGAAATACATTTGTTAAAAACGAGCGCTTGGCACTACTGGCAACAAATTCCCAATTCTATCAGTTGTTTTTGAATAAATCAGAAGCGTTTGGTTCTTGCAAGTGAAAATATCAAAATATTTTGATGCGATTTTAAGTTTTTCATCCAAAAATAATTTTTTTTTCTAAAAATACTAACTTTGGATCTTTCGACTTAGACTATTATATTGCCCTTTAAAACTGTGCTTTCAAATGTTAACTTTTTTCATTGGCGTAAAAATTAAGAGCAAAATGAACCCTCTTGACTCTAAAAAAAAAGAAAACAAAAAACATGACTCTACCCTGAAAAAGTGGCTACAAATACTGGTAACATGCGTAAAAAAGTTCCGTTTCTGAATAGTTTCTGAAATATAGTCTATATATATATGAAATATGCCTATTTAGGTCTGTGCGTTTTTTGGTCAATAGATGGTGGCAAAAATAAAACACAATTTTTCATGTGCCGACGTTTCGACTATATTTAAGCCATTCTCAGGGCTCCAGAACTGAAGCGATGGAAAATTGTGTTTTATTTTTGCCACCCTCTATTGACCGAAAAACCCACAGACCTAAATAGGCTTATTTTGATGGAAAAAAATAACATGATTGTATCAGTTAAGTTTGAGCTTTTCTGTATAAAAACAACAATTCTCAATAGTAGATAGAAATTGATAAAACAAATAAATTTTTAAATTTTTCTCGATCAGAATTCCATAAAATTAAAACAATTTATTAAATCCTCAAATATAACTTTTCAAAACATACCTACAAACACTACGCTCACCACCCAAAGAAAAACCACTCTGTTCAAGTTTCGAATTACCACCGATGCATAATAACGGTACCGATCAAGAACTGCGGAACCAAAAAAACACCGAACGAATGAGGAAAAGCGCGCCACCTGGTCGTACCCGATGGTTCCAATAAAATGACCTTAGTCGACACATTCGGAGAAATTGTTAGAGGTGAAAGTAGAATACCAGCGATGCTAACTAAATGGTACTGATTACACAGAGTGGGTTCCTTCCTCAATTCGTACCACGAAGAATTCGTGTTGAACTTAAGGTGCGACTACCGAAAATATTCAGGTTAATATCCAATAATACATTATTCATATTTGTTGATTTCCACTTATAAACTTATCTTAGAATTATTGAAAGTTCTTTTTCATTCTGCGTTTCTATGTTATCAATTGAATTTAGAATGGTTTCATTTTCAGTACCTTTTTTTACGTCTCGCAAAGTAATTTTTTTTACTCCCCAAAACATCCTGAAATTTTAAAAGTGGACAACAACAATGCATTTGAATTCTTGAATTTAAATGTTAATAACAATATTAAAACTGATTTATTTTTAGATAAACTATTGATACTGCTGATCAAACTGGTTAAAATGATTAAAATCGGTTTAATCACTTAGCGGTATTGCAGCAAATTTATTAATAAAATTATACCTTATTTTCGAGTCTCCAAATTGCTCATTAGAAAACTTTCATGTTACATCTGCTGATAATTAGCCAATAATTATTAGTATTTGTTTTAAGAGTTTTTGCGTTAACTTAATTAGTTTAATAAGTCTCTTCCTTTTTTACAGTGTGCATTTATCAATTGAATTACTCACATGAATATTTTAGTTTATTATCCGAAACTGTAAATTCGTTTATTAGCAACATTGTAGTGGCCAACGGTAAAGCGGGTTTCGAGTATTTCTTAAACAGATGAACAAACAAACGTATTTCACTTATCAATTAATCAACTTTCTTTTCCTAATGGTATTAACATGAAAACTGGTGCTAATTTTTTCAGACGACTTATTTTTTTATAATTTTCTATTCATTGCTACTTTTTATGTTATTCAATTACTTTTTTAAATGAGGCTTAGTAGTATATAGAGTTAAAACTGTTGCGTTTTTTGGGCTTTAAACCCGTCTTGGAAAATAAGTGCTTCGCGACGTTTCACGGGCATAAGCTTGCATCTTCAGAGTTGTGTTAAGATTTAATGAAAAAAAGGCTTGAAATCCAGTAAACATTTAGCGAGAATTGATGATAACTAAATTCCCGAAACCTCTATTAAACTTGCCTTGTTTCTATGCATTGTTGAGAACAGTTATTTGGTTTGTTGCTCGCAAATAAATTTGTATTTTTTGTTTGGTACTTACTTGACTAGGCGCTCGATGAACTTGTTTAAAAAAATTGGTTTTCTTCCAACCGGAAAAAGCCAACGGCCAATAACTTAGCAAGATAACAGATACTTTAATATAAACGCCACAATATCCCTTTGCTCCATGCTGGTCGTGCAATGGTCAAAATCACAAAAAGACAGCAGGTTCAACTTGATTTTCAGTTATATTTTAGACAAAAAATGTTGATTTTGTGATGCGGTACGAACTACACGACCTCTAGATGAGGAATGGATGGATGGAAAGCGAGTGTCGTTAAAAGAAGGTACCAACTTATTAGTGAAATGCTTAAAGTAGGACGACTTGACTTCAGCTGGGAGTGTTTATCAAAGACCTCTTTCGAATTTTCTTGATGAAATGAAATCAGCCAATTGAAATGCCATACGGTACGTCACCTAATAGAATCGCAAACTTTAAAAAATTACACAAATCTGTTTTTCGAAAAATGTGTTTTGTTGCTATCAAATTCCCTCTGATGCAAATTTTTGGTAACTTTGGATTTTGGGCCCCAGTTTTCCAAAATACTAATAAGGCGCACTTTTTCTACCTATTTCTCCATTAGAAGAACTACTATCGGTTTTTTTGCTCGGAAAAACTTTTTCTTCAGAAGTTTGCGTCAAAAAAAATAATGAAAAAAGGAGAAATTTTCGCAGAATTTCTTCTCGGAAAAATAAACTTTAATAGAGAGAAATATGCAATTTCTTCTCTAATAACAACAAGCAATTTAAGCAGAACGACCCCGAGTATTATTGCAAATCAGCACGTTCAACTTTCCAATAAAACGCGTTTTGAAATTTGTATCGAGACGGACGTAAAGCAAGTCCGTTGTCCGTTCTTGCTGGTTCCACTGAAGAAAGCAGAAAGTGGTACCTGTTGTGAAAAATCGGACACTGCATTAAGCACTGAACATTTATTTAGGATTCACCGTTATGTCGATGTACTGTTTCGTATCCAGATGCTTATAATAATTGATTTAAAAAACTTCCACTTTCTTATTATGTTTTAAAGTGGAAGTAGCAAATCCACACTAAAAAAGCTGCAATTCAGGCCGAAGAAACTTTGCCAATGTTAATGTAAATGTTCCCAATTTGGTAATGCATTCAATTTTATAAAACTCCTTTTAAATTTAACAATAATAATTTAAACAGACAGGAATTACACATTTCTTTGTCGAAATTTTCATTTGCGTACTTGAATATTTTGTTTAATTGACTTTGTTTAAACCTGACTAGTTTTTCGTGAAAACAGTTTCGTCCGTCATCTTCAGAGTTGGGTTCTTCGGGGCACACAACTCTGAAGATGCAAGCCACTCGTGCTTGCGAAACGTCCGGAAGAACCTTCGAAAAACTCATCAGCTTCAACCAATGGTTACGAACGCCTAATGTTTAATGTCCTTTCATTCAGTCGCTTTGGTTAATGCCAACGACTATGAACACTTTTACCTTCCTTTAGACCAGCCGCAGAGCAGGAAGTATGAAAGGAAAGTGGTCTAATCATAGTTTACTTTTATTTGGATAAGACATTGCGTAACTCATCTCGAGGAAGCATCGCCATTTATTTGTTTTTTTGCCAAGAGGTGCTTTGTTGAATATTCAGGATAAACCAACAGCAATATTTATCTTCTATAAAGTTTCTCCAATATGCTAATTCTTCATAAGCGATCTTCACAAAATATGTATGAAGACTCGATTGTATCTAATAGAAAATGGTCTTTCACTTAACAACAAGAAATCAATGTGATTTTTATTGGCAACTAACAACTTAAGCAGGTCACGATATTTAACAAACTTACATGAAAATCGAATGAAAACGTAACTTCACATCATCCACTATACTAAAAGTCTGCAAAAGTCCAGGGGCACAATGATGGGTCAAAATATACCGGAATTTAATTAAATTAAAAATAAAAACTGTATATTTTTTTTTATTTTAATGTTAATTTTTTTAATTATCTCAAGCTGTTTCGAGAACCGATTTTTTCATTTAAAGAAAATGTTAACGTGTATTTTTAAAACCAGATGTATTAGATGCAGCAAAAAAATATTTTAAAAGTTTGCCAATAGAGCAATGAGTGTTGCAAAATTCACAAAAAGTTTAAATTTTTTATCTCGAATGTTTTCTAGCATTCAAGCCTTGAACTTTACTTTTGGAAATTGAAAGTTATTATATTACACAGTGTATTATAAAAGCAAATTGTCGCATTTTCTATAAATAAATTTAAATACAATGTAGAAAGTTTTCCTACATGTTGCTTACCGTTTGTTTATTCAAGAGAATTTTTAACAATTAGTAGTTTGATCTTTGAACACCGCCAAACCACTGAGAGTAAAAAAAATGCTTCACAAATAATTGGGAAATGCTGCGGGTTTTTTTTATTATTTTGGGGTATACGTTCTTTGCCATAATACCAGTGGTGAACAATAATGTGTATTTTTTGCTATCGAGAATAAAACCTGATTTCCATCCTCAAATCGATGCATTTTGCCAAACTTTGTTTTTATCTTCAAGGCCTGTATGTTTCTGGATAGCTATACTTAATAATTTATTAGTTTTTTGTTTGCTACATCCTTCTTTATTTCTTTAATTCTTTTCTCGTTTGTATTAATAAAGATTCTCCGGTAAAAAGCGATAAATTTCACTGATGTTTGGCCAAATCCCTCATTAAATACGAAGAATACGGGAAATGATATTTGCCTTCAACCATTAACGCTTATATTCATTGTGCTTTGACTATTTAACCTGATATAACTCCAAACCTAAACACTGTTTGCAGATAATTATGATGCTCTTTTCTGGTAATTAATGTTACTTTCACACACTGGACTTTAGTACCGGATAATTAAAGTAATTTAAGAAGCAAGTGGGGAAAAGTAATTGCTTAAAATCAGTTTCAGTTTGCACAATTCAAGGTAACTTTCCATTATTGCCAAACACATTATTTTAACACCCCGTTATAAGGGTTGTACGCAAAAAAGCTTCAATACATTTACACAAAAAAGACAACAAAATTTTTTGTTGGAAACGTAAGTAAAGTGCTTAGGCTGGTTTTATTTAAATTTTTACCAAACTTAATTGATGTGAGTTTTGATACGTTTGCTTATTTTCCGCCTCAAAGTTGAACATTTTGCTAAAAAATGTAAAAGTGCAATTTTAATAGATCAAAAAAAAATGTTGCTGAAAAGTGGTTACTGATTTTTTAACAAAGGGTAGCGTATTTTAAATATTTACCGAAAACAAAAAAAATCTGTGAAAATTGAAAAATGTTTCCTTTATATTTTTTTATAAAAAGCTTTACCTTCCAGTATATATGCAGCTGTCGCAATATTAGATTCAAAATAGTTTTAAAGATAAAGAAGAGCAAATCTTAGTATGAAGATAAGTGAATTTGATAAGAACTTCAACAAATCAGAGAAAATATTGAGTTTTTCTGGTCCGGCAAAAGACATCATACAGCAAAATGTTCAACTAATACGTACACAACAATAAAAAAATAGGTAAGTAAGCCGGAAGTACCGGATACGCCAAATCTGTCCTAACTTTAGAACTGGATAAATTCTGATTTTTTCATATAACTCAATTATTTTTCTGTGAGCTTGTGTTTTAGCAAACATTAAGAAATTGAACTAAAGTTTCTACAGTATGAAAAAAAAGAACCATTTATTTTCAATTCAAAAAACGTGTTTTGTAAGCGTACCAGTTTCATCTAAAAGAGACACAGCAAACCAAGCAAAGTGCTCTTGCAGTGTATTTAATTGTTTCTGTCTAATTTTATTTATTTTTAATTATCATCGAAGTAGGTTTTGTTCTACATATACATACGAGTATGTAAACATATTTAAACTTGACTTTCCATTATTTTTTATTTATCAGCAGGAATGCTTCTAATGCGGTAAATGTTAAATTGGCGATTCTAATATGAACTAATTAAATTATTTTTGCATTCCAAGCAGCAACGTTTTGCAGTTACAAAGCACTGCTCACATTGCAAATTAAGGTTGACTAACAGAAAAATGCATTTATTGGAAAGTCGAAGTTCTACAGAAAAGTCCATGAGAATGCTTATAATTCTGAACGAAAAAACATTTTACTAGGGGAAAATTACCTGAAGATTTCAAATACCGATTTGCTAATTAAGCAATGAAACCGGACTGTTGGGTCTCGGAAATTTTAATTAAGGGAGTTTTTTCTTCTAAGCGAATCTAGGGTTTAGAGTGCGTGTTTTTGTTTGCAGAATTTTAGGCAAAAAACATGTATATATAAAAGAATCATGTTCACTTTGAGAAATTTTCTTAAACAATTTGTTCGATTTAGTCATTTAGTTTTTTTGGAAGTCATTTATTTTAATAAAAGAAAAAAGACTTAGAAAATGTTTAGAAATAATGAAAGTTCGGCATAGGGGAATATTATTAAAAAATGTTAAAGCAAAAAAGGTATATTATAGTAAATTTTAATCAGCATAGACTAATAAAGTAACAATAAAACTATTGTAAAATCACCATAAAACACGTAAATTGAAACATAACAGCGATTAAAAAGCGCTTATGTTCAAATAGTCATTTGGTTGATATGCGTAATAAATATTCGATAGCTTCGGGGTGTTTGGCTTTAATTAATTGCGGTCCAGTCAGTCTACTTTCATTTTTGTTAATTTTTCAACTCACTTAAAAAGTTAAACTAATTCAATCTCGATCATTATAAACGTGGTTTTGATTAAGCAATGCTTACTTCCTCTTTGCGCAACTTAATATTCACTTGCTCATTGGTGTGGAACTATTTCGTATTCTGATTATTTGCATGTGTTTTTATTGTAAAATCGGTAACTTTTGACTTTATAGATATTTTAATACATACAAAAGCACACCTACTCACCTATTTGGTGAAAATCACTCGCATAATGCACAATGATTTAAAATGTTGTATTAATAATATTAAGCGACTATTTCAACAATTATATGTTGATTTGCGAGTTGATAAGTGCATACATTGCATTTGGTTGCACTGGCAAGTGTGATTACTCAATCCAACATACGCGTAGGGTATGAACTTTGTAAAAATCAACTTTATTTAATAAATTTGTGAAACCGAACATGGTTGAGGGCGTCTGAACAAAAGATACATTTCTCGAATTTATATCACAGTCTGTTGAGTTTCTTAGTTTTTCTGTTAATGCCCAAACTTCACTAATGGCCAATTATTTATTATGATTTACGTGAGTCAGTAATTGCTGTAGAATGAAGGAAAGTTTTAAATTTAATGAGAAGATTTCATTTTGTTTAACGAAGGAATAGGTGCAAATAAAAAAAATATAATTTCAAACGGGTTCCCATAATAGAGTACATTTTTATAGGTCAATAAAATTGTTCAAACTTGATCAAACAAACATTATATAACGCTTAAACACAATCTACTCTTTGGGTTTTTCTGTAACGTGCCACTTTAAGTGGTCGCGATGAACTTTCACATAAAAAGCCACATTTGCCCCAAAAATCGTACATCACGTCACTATTTTGCGATCACAGGCACAAATTGAGGTAGCACATTTCTACACCACTCGATAGAGCGCTAAATAGAACATTTGCGAAGGAAAGCACCACATGGGAAATACTGGTGGTAGTTTTTATGCAAGAAGTAAAAATTTTTCTTAAACTTTTTGTTTTACGTGTTTTTTCTCGTTTTTTTACTGCTAAATCGGCTCAAACTCCTCGATCCAAGAGTTAATTATCCTATTAAAAATGTTAGTATATAAAAGCAAATTTAAATATTTTTGATGAGATATATATTATGCTCATTTTCCAATATAAATCTTCACAGATCCGCAACTTACTAATTATACTATTAAGGATCAATTGTATATTCAAACCTCATTCTCTTCTGTTTCGTACTGTAGCTGATCAGGTACTTTCAATTGTAAACTCAGGTAAGCGATAAATTCTATAGCAAATTGTCGAAAGCATTGTCAAAATTTCCTAGGTTGAATTTTTGCAAAAAACGTCCGCAAAAATGCTCATTATTTATTTTTGAAACTTCGACCTCTATATATTTTTTCTCACATCAAAAATCCTACTCATGGAAGAGGAGGAATATTACGATTCAATAGACGACACGGCATTTCCGGAATGTAGGAGCTTTTGCAACGACAAATTTTTTGAAGATGACTCCGAAATAGAGGAAGATAATTCCCAAAAAGTCAGCCATTTGGTGCCGTTCTACAATGGAAACGTTGAAAAGTCCGAGATCGAATCCATTAAAAATGACTCCAAGAGCAACAGTGTCACAACCTTCAGAGCATCGAAACTCGGGCGAAGAGCTTCGCTGATGTCTCTGACTGATCATAGAAGGAACCGGTCGCATTTGACCATGTTTTATGCGAAAAACGGCACAACTGAAAAATCTGAAAAAGTTCTGGCCGACAGAGCCACTTGTTCGGAGTTGTCTCCAAAAACTGATCTTTTAAGCACATTCGATGAAAGCGCTTCCTGTTGTGAAAATGCTAATTCCTGCAGGTAAAAATTGGCCTTTGCTGCTAATGGTTCATTAAATAAAACCTCTTTTAGTATGTGTAACAGATTTTTGGAAAAAGACGACAATGAAACTTGCAACACTGAATGCAACGCTTTTCGGTGCGGGTCTGAGATTACATTAGGAAGCAAACTGCTTAGTGTTTCTCAGGCCAATTTTAACTCGCTAGCTCCGTCCAAACAACGGTTTAAACGTGAAACCTCCAAAAATAGGCGCTCATCAAAACCGATTAAATTATGCGAACTTGGCGGGCTTGGACCAAATATCGCACAAGAGAAGGTAATTTGATTACAAATAACGGTGTTTTGCTTTTGTGGATTGTTGTCTGTATTTAAAATTCTTCTCGAATGATTCCTTGATTTTACGGTCACAAAGCTTTGATCTTTTATTTAGAAAGTTTTACCTTCTTGCATGTTGTTTCAAAAACTCGGTGATTTCGAGAAAAATGAGTACGCATATCGGGGTTCCGATGAAATACTTCCCAACATCTTTCTTACGATCGTTTCAACGGACTGAAAATTTGCAATATTTTTAAAAGTGGCTTGTTTACATATAAATATATATTTCAGCTGGAACAGTTGCGAAGAAGGCAAGACTACGGAAAAACAGTGAGTGAAAAAAATCGCATTAAATTCATGGAAACTAAGGTGGTTCGAAAATTAAGACAGGAAATACGGAAAAGCAACAAATTTTAGTATAGAAAAGGCTAACTTTTGCAACCACTTCACATTCATTATTGCTATTGTAAAATTTGTCGAGATTTAGTTACTAAATAAAGCAAAAATATCAGAGCCTGTTTATTTTCCTACTAGTAGCTTCTAGGCGTTATGGTGAATGCTAAGGACCAATTATTGCAGTTGAGTCTGCTGGTAGAATGGCATGGCTTCGTTTAGTTATAATTAGAGGGCGGAAAATATGCAAAGTGCATATCTATGCATTTTTTGCATATTTTATCCAATTTCATGAAAAATTGCATATATCTAAAA